TGCTTCGGGCTCGTCCTCGTCCTGCGGGTGCTCTTCGTCCAGTTCAGCTTCTTCGAATTCATCTTCTGATGGCAGTTCCGAGGCGTCTATAGATGTTCATTCGGATGCCAAGCCTTTCGAGATCAAGGCTCACCTCTCGATTGCTAGCTGGAATGCTCACTGCCTGTTCAACAGCCTCCATTCCAACCACCCCCTGAACTCTCTCAAGATTGCCAAACTCAAACATATGATTACGCTGCATCACATAGTCCTTGTGCAAGAGACGCGTGGCACACAATATGACCTCTCCCTCCTCTCCAAGGCGGTTGCCTCATACTCGTGTCCCCTACGCTGGCAAAAAGGTTCATGCACTTTCGACATCGCTTTATCAGCCCTGGGAGAGCGCACTGTCTCACCATGTCTGGCCCTGAAGGCGTGCTCCGGGTCATAGATCTACACAATAACCCCGACAGGACCATCAATCAGCAGTTCGACTTTTTTCTCTCTGCCTCTCGTTGGCTCTTGCCCCCCTCGCTGGCGACGTGCATTCTTGGCGGGGACTTCAACTATTGCTGCGAGGGGGAGGGGCGCCAGCACCTGTCGGGGCATGTCTTTATGCACCCTCGCCGTCTCGCTGCCCGGTGCGCTAGATTGTTTGCTGGGCTTGCCGAGATCACCCAAGATCAGCCGACGCATCGAGTGGTGCAGGATGGCGCTCTGGTTTCGCTCGCTCGTCTTGATCGCATCTTGGTCAATCTCTACAGCGCCGACCTCTGAGCCTCAACCCGAATAGTATAGTCTTGGGAACTGCGGCCGATCTATCGGAGCTTTCTGGCCATGTCCATGTTTGCATTTCGCTGTCGCCTACTTCTCGGCCTACGGAGTTCCGGGTTCCCAGCTGGGTCAGCAAACACCCATGGCTTCGGGAGGCCTGCGACGACGTTTTTGCCGATCTCGACGTCCCCGAAGATCTCGACGAGCGCTAGGCGGTCACGAAAGACGTCCTGCAGCTAGCTGCAAGGATGACTCTGCGTCGCCTGGAAGCCAGGGGGGCCGAGTCGGACGCCGAGCGGGAGTCGTTTTTGTGGGTCGACCTGCCTGGGTTCCACAGATCCCTGGGTTTTTTGCAAACTCGCCAGCTCGAGGCCCGACTCCGCGAGCTAGACGTTGACCCAGATATTCCTCCTCAGCGCAAGGCCGCTCAGCACATGCGGCTGTACGAGTACTGTTCTGCCTGGCACGCGTCTTCTTCTCGTCGGATCTCGCCTGCCTGCCTGGCCGATCCAACCGGCGAAAATATTACAGATCCACAGACGGTGTGTAGCCGCTTTGCCCAACACTGGGGGGAAGTGCATGCTGCTCGCGCCTGCGACCCTGACGCCCTATTGGAGTTGGCACCCTTCGTTCAGCGTGTACCGCAAAATGTCGAATGGGAGCTTTGCTACGACGACTTCGTGTCATGTTTCGCTAAGTTGAAGGACGCTGCTGCGGGCCCCGACGGGCTCCCTTATTCATGTTGGATTCGAAGTGGGCCCACTGTTTTGGAATCTTTGCATCTCGTCTATCAGCGTCTGTTTCGAGGTCTGGCCCCTGATCGTTTTAATGACACCATTGCGGTCTTCCTGGCTACAGGGTCTCTTCCCGAAGATACGCTGGGTTTGCTGTTTCGCACCGAGGATGCTACGCGGCCCATCTGCTTATCTAACTCTGACAACAAGCTGATATCGATCGCCCTTAACAGGGCCCTCAAGTATATCTGTCAGGTCTGCGTCGTCGACTGGCAAGGGGGGTTTGTGCCGAAGCGTTCGGGGGCCTGCAACACTATCGAGTTGGAGGGGCGGGTCTTGTCATGGTTTGCGCAATTGGGCCACTCCAGGGCAGGCTTCGTCTTCTACGACATACGCGCGGCGTTCCCGTCCCTCCTCCACGACCTCATCCATTGGGTGCTCGACCTCATGGGTTTTCCCCGTCATTTTCGTCTCGCGGTGAGGGCCTTGTATAGAGATATTTGGATCCAGGTTTCATTCGGCGGCGCTTCCGGAGCTGGTTTTTGGGCTTTGGGCCCTCCGAGGCATCGAACAAAGGTTGCCCCCTCAGTGGCAGTATTTTCGCCTTGGCTTTCGACCCCATCTTGCGCATGCTTGGGCCCCGCCTTCCCCGAGGCTTGGCCGCCCCTGGAGCTTTCGCGGATGATGTGGGCATCGGGGGGGCCTATCTGTATGATATTCTAGTACGTAGTGCCCCCGTCTTCGTGATTGCTGCGAAAGCGGCGGGGCTGTTTTCAAAAGGGCAAGGTGTCCAAGTCGTTATGCTTTCCTGCCCGACTCGCGCCGAGTTCAATGCGCAATTGCATATTCGGGGCCTTTCGCTTGGGTCTTGCATCCTTGCTGCCTTCGGCCAGTATCTTGGCGTGTCCTTGGGCATAGGCGGCGACCGGACCAGCTGGATCGCGCCCGGCGCCAAGTGCCTCCATCGCGTCAGGAGCATTCGCACGCTTGGCCTCGGTCTCACTCGCAGCGTC